GAGAGAGAGAGAGAGAGAGAGAGAGAGAGAGAGAGAGAGAGAGAGAGAGAGAGAGAGATGTCCTAGAAACATCCAAATGTACTAAAGTTAAACCAAAGATATAAAAGCACAAATTGGACGTCATAATATTTCCAAAGCACTATCCCTGCTGAAGCTTTCATAGGGCCTGAAAGGACATACACACAGTGTCTATATATAAAAAAGGTTGAACCCCAACCTTGAGGACCCCCACCGCCCCGCCCCTAGAGCTTTGTGAAGGATGTAAATCGCAGGATGTGCCCAGCAGGCCAGGGAACAAGAGCTGCCTGTACACTGCGCCTACAAGGAGTCAAATTTCATGTTTCAGGAATTATATATATATATATATATATATATATTTTGTGTTGGCTAGGCAAGTATCTTCTTCATATTCAATTAATCACTTCTCCTTAAATTCTCTCGCCAGTATCTTTTTCATATTCAATTCATCACTTCTCCTTAAATTCTCTCACCCAAGAATAATGTTATACTTTGATCTAAGACACGCTGCCCTCTTCGTTATAAACATATTGAAATCATATACAGCCACATCTTGGGAATGGGATCCATTTGGTATAGCAATTGGAAACTTCATTTGGATCAAGTTTTGGCTTCTCACTAGCTTTTTCCTTCTCTTCTCCTTCATTTCCATTGAAATCCCATTGACACCTCAAGTTGATATGGGATACATGCGCATTCAAGTCAAGAATTACTCAGTTTCCCTATTGGTTTGTTTCTCGGCCTCTCTATTCTTCCCACAAGACTTTTTTGGATTATGTACCCCATAATTATGCTGCTTCCCTTATGCACTACATGTATCTCTAGCATGTGGAGGAGTTTTAAGCTGAGTTTTCAAATTCTGCTACCATCAATTCCTGTTCTTAACATATATATGACCACAACAATAAATATTGACGAGGAACCCGACTTAGAATCGCTGGTGAGGGGACAAATTCAGCAAGATTAGGCCAAATGCAAATCTGGAGCTTTGAGTTAGTAATTAAATATAGTAATTTGGAAAGAACAATAATGTTTTGATGTAGTATATTTGCCTCTTTTGTATAGCATTTCTGTTAGCACATAGCCAATGTAATTCGAGCAAAAAACAGTGTTTCAAAGCTTCAAATAGGATGAAAGAATCACCTCTCCAGTGGTTTGTTTGGTCTCCACAAAGGGAGGTCAAGTTTTATTTTAGGATGGTTGTATTGCCACTATAATTTTTATTAATTACACTACATTTTATTTTGCTCGTTATAGTAATTATTTTCTTAATTTTTTTCTTGGAATTCTTATTTTCAACTTTTCATTAAGTAGTACATTTCGTTCTTGATGATAATTTATGTCAAAATATTTTGTTTCTATGCTTTGAAGTGAGGGACTTTTTATTTTTTTAAAAATATAATGAAAAAATAAGTTGTTATACGCTATGTAATAAAATATATAAATGACATACTATATACCTTTTTGGAAAATAGAGTCGAGATTTGCTGTCTATCTAATTAATTTTTGACATGTCATCAATAATTAACACGTTATTTTAAATTTATCATCATTAAATTATCATTAACCCACTAAATTAAAGTGTCATGAATTAATTGTGCGTTTATTTGGAAGCTATTCGATTTTAGGGGTAATTTGGTCACCTCCTTCGGCCCAATTTTTTTGACTCAATATTTGTTAAATTACCTACTACACTACTACTCACATGGTCGGGCCCCACGCCAATAAATGTACGGGGCCGGACCCTTCACTCACATTCGGGTACAAATGGAAATCTCCATAAATTTCGCCGTGTAACTGTCAAAATTTCCACCAAAATCCTACTGATGAGAATCGCCTCCATGGTCGTTAAAACAGTCCAGCTACGACGGACCAACATGCTTCTCCATCTCGATTCCCCCTTGGTCTCGGTGTTGAACTCCACTGCCACCTAGGCTCCCGTAGCAGCGGCGTTGCGACCTACATGCCAATCGATCTCGATCCCGATCCCCCTTGATCTCGGCGGACCAAGTAGAACTCTGCGTTTTAGACTGAACACTGGGCCAAGATCTAGCCCTGGTGCCCCCACCGCCACCGAGGCTCCCGTAGCAGCGGCGTTGCGACCTACATGCCACTTGATCTCGATCCCCCTTGGTCTCGGCGGACCAAGTACAACTCTTCGTGTTAGACTGAATACTAGGCCAAGATCTGCCGCAGGTGCCCCCACCGCCACCGAGGCTCCCGTAGCCTCCGTTGGATGCAGTTGCAGTGGTAGTCGCTTTCGACGGCTCCGAATCTTCACTGGTGGTAAGAACCTTGGGCCGCCACCTGCTGTATGAAAGTTTTTTAGATTTTTCTCAGATAGTGGAGATATTCAATTCAAGCCTCGCGTTGAACCATGGGACCCCGCTCCATTTTTATAAATAATGTCTCTTCCTTGTCTTTCGTTGGACGCGGAAATTCTAAAACGGGCACAATTGGGATATTGTGTTGTGCAAGGCAGCCTTTATTTGTTCTCATAAATTCTCAGCACTACTTCGTCCATCAGGCGATCGATAAAATATCTAAACCAAAATTCAACCTCCAACTATGACTTTTGACGTTTCTGGGTACACCGCAACCTCCAACCTCCGGCAACTGTTGTCGAGGCAGCTCCAGCGGACCCTCACCTCCAGCTTCGGCTGTTGAGGCACACTTGGTGCGGGATAGGCACCAGAGTTGTGCCACAACGGAGTGGCCATGGGATTCGGAAGGAAAACCAAAATATTTATTAAACTTGCCGAGATTAGTATTGGTTTCGAGATTGTTTCTAGAAATTAAGAACGTGGCTCCTTGCAGTCAGTTTAGAGCACACCACCTATGTTGCTGAATAAAATTCCTCATCCACATTGAAAGAGATTTCCTGTTGCTTAATAAGTTGTTCTGTGTCAAACTGGGTTGGTTGAATCCTGTCGTCCTCAAAGTGCTAATCTGCTGAGCAAATGTCAGAATCTAGCGATCCACATATTCATCTACGTAGTAACAACCTTCCAGGCTCGTTGAAAGTGGCTCAAAATGATTGAACCTCATCCAGCATGGATGCTACATGTGAGCTACATTTTGTTAACCTTGATGTATCTTGTTGGAGTCACTCGGTGAGTCAGAGCTGCAAACTAGGCTTGTTGGTGGAGAAAGTGAGGCGAATCTGTGAACTAAATTCGTTGACGAAGAAAGGCTCACCAAGTTGGTTCCTAGAAAAGGGACTATTGGGGTCGGTTTCTCGGGGCTATCAAATAATTATGATGAGGCCCTCAGGTATGATATTTTCACCTTTTGATCCTTGAAGAACTTAAACATAACTTTTTTCTCATAACTTAATCTTCTTTACTTTCTATACTAGGCAGTTCAACATGAAATACACGAGTTTGAGTAAAATGAAAAAATAAAATAAAAATAAATAGCTATTTTCTATTGATTCTTGAGGAAACATGCTCAGAGGACATAATAACAACTAACATAATTCTCAAAGATGAGGATTCCTATTAAAACAGTAAAGGCCCACATGTTTACTGTCATATCATATTTAGGAGCCATGCTTAGTGCTGGACAAAAATGTAGATTACTATGGAAAAAGTTTTAATATCTTTTTATTGTTTAATTAGTACTATAAATCGAGCTCATGAAAAATGTTGAGAGCTAAGAGCTTGTTTGGAAGTGATTAAAAGTTCCTCAAAATGGATTTCTTTGGCAGTATTCTATAAATATGTCGTGAATTTGTGATGGTTGTTTATCCTTTAATGCTGTCTAATATTTTCTTTTATTGTCCAACCAACACATAACGTATGTCAATGCAAAGATGAGATTGGATGGAAAGGATAGGTTGGACTAAAATGTTCTTTAAATGTGTGTGATTCCACAAATTAAAAATTTGACAAAGATTATCATGGACTGAAACGAAGGTAAGAAAATATGGTTAAACTTTTTTGAGTTTCAATTAAATCCACAAATTTAGGAAATTGGCATGAGCATATTTTCTAGGAAAGGGAATCAACCCATACTGGTAAATGAATGACGAGTGGAAATAAAGCAAAATGAAGAAACCAAGGAAAGTACCTTCATTTCTTTAGCAAATCATAAAGGTCATTCCTGTCATGCAATAATTTGCAATAACAAGATATGTTCCCACTGTCTGCAAGAACCAGAGAACAAATGGTTTATTTTTTAGGTCCCTCAAATATCTAAGGCCTTAGGTCGTTGCCTAATTGGCTTTGGTAAGATTTGCTGGAAAAATTGGTAAAAGTTGTGAATCTCATGAATTACATGATTGAAAGTAAATTTTGAAATAATTGAGTTCAGCAGATGATACAAACATATTTATGAGTTTTAGTAAATGATGATCGGGCATTTTCTTAATCATTAAGGCAAGTGTCAAATGTATAGATGGTGGGGTTGTCAATATTCGTGCCTTTCTTTAGCACATACCTTAAAGGTATTGACTTTTTGATAAGTTGAGGATACGAGGACTAGATTTAGTTGGAGACTTTGAATATGTTATACCCCTTTGAAGTCTTTATATCCATTTACGTTGTATGGTAAACAAATCAGATATGTTTAATTTTAATTATTTAATCATATTTATTTACAATATTTAACATATTGACTCAATCTTTAATGTGTGGAGATGATCGCAAATTTGGTAGATGAAGTAAAGAATAGGTATAGATGCTGTTTGTTATCACTTGGACTACAATGGAAAGGGGGAATCGCCCTTGCACAGCCACTCCTATACAAGTACCTTTTCCCGAACATGATCGTGAACATAGACAGAATTGTGTAAATAGTAGGATGTAACTAACTGACCCACTTGTCCTGATCAGAACGATTAGCTTTCCTTGGTTAATAATCTTATTTAAAATTCAAGCATCCAAAAGGGCTACATCTACTTATGTAACAAACAAAGTTTTCTTCTTGATAATTTTGGAGTCTTTAACATAAATCTTTTTCCGTTATCCCTTTTAGTTCATTGATAAATTTATCCAATACATGAATTTGTCTATTTCTTATTTTCAAAATGTTAAGAAATCCCGAATTAAAAAAAAAAAAAAAAGGAAAGTAAAGTAAAAGGAAAAAAATTGTTGCAGTTTTAATTTATGTGAGTGTTGTGATTGGTGTAGGGAATGTAGGGACAAGGAAGAATACACAGAAGACAGTGGCTATTATTCTTGGAGGAGCCGTGGGGATAGGCCGGGGAATTGCTTGTTTGCTGTTTGTTAAATCAACTTTCGGGGAAAAGCCGCCTCCTTACAAATATGGTGGATGAGGTTAGTGTCATTTTTGCAACAATTTTCCGTTTTAGTTTGTGGATAAAAAAATACCAAATGTCGTAACTGAGTTATTTCACTAAATTCATAATTCTGATACATAATGATACATTGTTTGAACAACTTGCATTTCGTGACTCGATTAACTGGTGCTGGTTGGCAACTCATGTCAATATGCAAATTGCTTAAAGTCTATATATAGGCATAATTCCCTCCAAATTATTCATTGAAAACACAAATTAGAACTCCAACCACACCCCAAAACTCTATATCATACCCGAACCCCAACTGAAAAACTTTGCTCTGTCATCCACCGCTACTAAAAAATAATTCAACGAACCATCTTTATATCATATGGTTTGTGAACTATTTTTTAAGCTCGTTTTTTTTTTAAAAAAAAAAAAAAAAAAAGGAGACATCTTAGTTCAAATATAAATAATTAAATTAACTCATCAACCATTTCAAATCAAATTCAAACGCACAAGGAGTTGATTCCGCTCTCAAATTGGAAATGTGATGTACAAATGGAGAACGAAAAATCTATACTTTTCAACCAGCTCATGCATAGTGACAACCCAAGCCAACTGAATTGGAGAATAATGCCTCAAAGTTAGACGCTTCCACTTCTAGAAATTTCTCAAGAAATTCAATTTAGAGCTTATGAACCGTCCAAGTGATGACAAGTGGCAATCCATATTAACAGTTCTTCTGTATTTCTATAATAGTTGCAAGTGATGACAAGGTGTAGATGAAGTCAAAAATAGGTATACAGGTGCGATCATTAAGATTCTTCCACTTTCAAACTGCAACCCATATTAACAGTTTAACAAGTTATCAAATATATCAAGTTTGTGAAGCTATAGAGGCTGTCATTTGACCATGCATCAACTCATAATTGGCAACGGTAACTTAATTGAATCCTATCAACGAATGGATTTCTAAATGACATGCTAAGGTTTCATTTTACGGATCCAGAACTTACTATTAAATTGATTGTTTAAGGATAAAATTTCATATCAAATAAGGATGAAAATATAGACCAATTTATAAGGGTTTGAGCGGTCCTTTTTGACAATGTTAACCACAAGTCCTAATACTGAGAAGAATAAATCATAAAATTATTTGCTTGGAACATAAAATTATGACTAAATACAATTTAAAAAGGCATATACGTCGAATTGAATACTTGTACTGAATATTTATTGACGAGTTGATCAAATGATAAACACTTTTTATTGAAAAACAAAAGATACAGACTCTTAGCTAAGAAAGAAGCTTCGTTGATCCAAAGCATGCCTTTGTCGCAGGATGAATTCTTTATCATGATTTATAGAACAAACTTCATCAGTTCACACAAATAGTCATGCAATTGTGGCCCACGATCAAATTTATGGTTCACTGTAAATTTTGTTAAAACGTGTTCCTATAATTAAGTTTCATTCCGTCCTTTGAAATATATTTCACACTGGTATGGCTAATGCTTCTTGTTCAATATTTCATCTTTATAATATTCATATATACACTCTCAAGAGTCCACCTCCATAGGCTTTAATTAGAATACTCTTGTCACTGTCAAGTCATATTATGAGGGAAAATGCTCAAACTTCCATTGAGATGGATTGGTTATCATGGATTATGCAAGATATTTCCTTACAGCATTTTTTGGCTAAGCTTAAAAAGTTTCTCTCTCTTGCATATTTACTTACAGCATTTTTTGGCAAGCTTAAAAGGTTTTTCTCTCTTGCCTCCCTCCTTCCTTCTCTTGTCTCTTACTTCTCTTCATAATTAACTCTAATCATTGCTTCATTTATTCTAGGGATAAGTACATCTGTATGTAGCGAATATCAGTTAGTTGCAACAATTACTTATGCATAAGAAATGATTTGCAAGCCCCAAAAAAATTAAAAAATAAAAGTGAATATAGGAAGTTTTTTAGTGGGGCAAATCTCATGACTTAGTTTTATCGTCTTAGAAGTTATATAATAAAAATAAGTTTGATGGGGAAAACACGATGCATAAAATTCTGATTTTCTTATTTTCCCTATGTAAATTAGGTACTTTCTCGAGTGGTTGAGTGACGGAGGGGGATAATGTGGCCATGAAAACCTACCTATGGCTAGAACCTCTATTGTTATCGAAAATCTACCTATCCGTTCTAATTGAAATACTTTGAATGACCTATTATCAGATCAGGAGCCAACCAAAGTTGACATGCTACTAAAGGAATAATCAGCATACGTTATATGTTAGTACTAGAACCAAAGTTAACTTCACTAATACACACAATATTTGTGCATCTAACTCATAGCTAGTATCAGGGCTTTCTCAGCTTTCTCCCTGTGCTCAAAAGTATGGATATATACCAAAATATCAACCTAACAACATCGTTGCTTCCATTTACTCTATACATTCAATTGATCTTGAACACTACACAGGATTTGTAGCGTACCATGTCATAGAAACATGTCAATTAGATAGAAATCAATTTACAATTAGTTCATACAGTTCCACGAAAGGCAGCATCTAATTAGCCTTGGAGTGGTAGAATGTTATAATCTGACCAATAGAGCAGGTGTTGTTGGGGTGTGGGTATATATAGCCCCTGTTTGATTACCATTAAATTAAATTACATTACATTCCATTTTTCTCTCTTATTTTCAACCATACAATCTTTCATAAAATAATATTACACGTAAATCGAAAACTTTACCTTTTTTTTCAACCACTCATTTTTCTAAAAAATACTGTTCCCCCATTACCATTTTCAGGTAATGGGGGTCAAACGGGGGCATAGTATAATTTTGTTGATGTAAAAATAACAATATTCTTATATTAAATAAAATTGTGTTTATTTTATTTATTGCATTTATTTATTATGAAGCATACGAATTAAAGTGTCTATGATCACTTGTGATAATATAAATTGAATACTTGCATTGAGAAATATAGTGTGACAACTTATATTTTGATCATAAATAATTTGTTCACAACCAATGTATAGGGGTTGACACCTTGTACTGGAAGGTTGTAATATTGACCGATTCACTATTCATGTTTGTGATTTGTCCTTATTACAAAAATAGTTAAAGGTAACACTAGTAAACTTGGAGTGTATTAAACGGACCGCGTGTCAAATTTAATTCCTACAGCATGACCGTGCGAAAAATTAAATTTCACTTGATCGCTATGTATTTCTTATAAATCCCTTGATAGTGTTATGTATATCTTTTTGTGATTTTAGTGGTTCTCTGATTATTAACGGGGTGATGAGATCAATTTGATTGGTTAAATATCTTGATGAGCTAGGAATTTGAAAATAAGCAAAGTAGAGAACATAAATTCGTGTCGAGAATCGTCACCTTGAAAAATGGGGTAGAGTGATTACTTAAGTATTTACTGTTGAATGATTAAAATATGAGCTAAGTATTTAACGACTATTAAATTTCGACATCTGTGATTAGTTTACAAAATCGTTGAAGAAAATGATATTTAAGCTAGTGATAATAAATAAAAGGGCAAAACGATTATTTATGCTCGTACCTAATTATTAGATCTCGGACGAGGATAAAATAAATATATAACAAGTCAGAGGAAGTCATTATAAATTTATTGATTTCTGTGATTTTATATATTCCAAGAGTTCAGTCATCTGTCTTTGGTGAAAAAAGCAAAGACTAATATTTAAATTGGGTGGTCTAGAGTTTGTTAGACAGATCTAATTATTGGAGTTTGGATAATACATGTTATATTAGGTCCTTATGTCAGCTAGCTTGTGGCGAGCCGAGCTCGAGCTCGGCCCACGAGCTCGTGAGCTTAAGAGCCACGAGATTTTTTTAATTTTTTGTAAATTTGCACATTTTTGGACCTTTTTTTTTTTATTTTCATATTTTTTGATGAGGTCAAAATTGCTCATGGGGGCCGTGTGCCCATGTGCCGCTCGTGGGATTGAGCCCCGAACGAGTCCGAGCCGCCCACGAGCTGGGTTTTGATGAGCCAAGCTGTCGAACCGATGATTCGCTCGGCTCATTTGACATCCCTAATGTCAACTCCATAAATTATTGAAACTGAATTATAGTAATTATAATAATTTTGAGGTTAATTATAATTATAATAAAGTTTTTTACTTAGTTATAATTATTATGAAATTTGTAAATTTAATTATAAAGTTATAGGACTGTTCATGTAATTAAATGTGTACTGATTGGATTTGGACTTTAAGTAAAACTCCTACTTAGATTTTAATTAGAACTCTTATTTGAATATGAAATTATTATTGTACAAGAATTAAAGCTATTCTATCTCTCTAATTAGAGACTATATAGAACCTAGAATTTTTGCAATAATCATAATACATAAATCCAGTGTTCAAATTGGAGAGAGAAAAAAAGAGAGAAAATATTATTTTTCTTGCTTTTATTCAATTGTTAGTTTAAAAATTAGTTTCTTGATATAATTTTAAAAAAAAAATATGCCCACCCATTGGTGTAGTTTTAATTTTGGAGAACACCATAGAAGACTTGGAGATTTGATATATCAAGTTCTTGCAATTAAAAGCTATAAGTCTATGATTCAAAAAGATGGAAGTTTGTGATCTGAATTAATTAAATAATTAATCATCAATTTAGGTAAAAATTCGAATTCTTTATCCTTGATTTAACATATACGTGAACATCTAAACTGTAACGTCCCAAATTTCCAAAAACCCTGGGATGTTAAGAAAAACGCGGTTTTCTTTTATAATAATTGCGGGACGATTTAAATAAAAGGAAATTCTTTATTTTCAACCATAAATATCAATTTAAAATAAGCAAAAGAGTTTTTGAGCAAATAAAACTAACAAATAATTTAGAATTAAAAAAAAAAAAAAGCAAACTAAATATTTAATTTCTTTTTCCTTTCTTCGATTCACTTGGCCGTCAGCGTCACCAATTCGCCACAACTTCAATCGACTTGAACTAACCTGTAAAAATTTGTAAGAGTGAGTATTCAAAAACACCCAA